TGTCGTTTGTGTTTAAAGTCGTTCAGTCAACAACGCTTCCCGGAGTACTCAAAATGCCGCGCGTTAAACCGTTTTAAAATAAAAAATAAACATAAATTCTTTATTATGTCGGAGCGTAACTGGTCTGCAAATTGGTATTCCGGGATTTGTAGGGAATACTGGCAATATACAGTTAAATCAAAGTTCTTGACACCTTCGTGTCTTAAAAAGTCTTGATGGAGTAACCTAGATACTCTCTCGAGTAACCTACAATTGTAGCAACTCTCTCGAACAATAGGATTTCAGAGATTTTGAGATATAATTCGTCTGGTATTGTGAGAATACATTACTATAATCCATTGGCTGCTACATCCACTACAGGTCTTAAATACAGGTCACTTTCGCTGACTGGTCAGAACACAGGTCACCATGCCTATGAAAGAACACTTATTTATTAACCAGTAACGCCTACCTTTCGAAGCCGAAGACTGATGGCGTAAACTTTTACTTTATACCTCGCACACCGGAATAAGAAACACCATATTGAAGGTCCTACCTTTCAAAGGTAAGCATATCTGTCACTAAGGATTTAACCACACTAAAAGCTGACTACAAACTCGGCTTCTGTGTAGAGATGGATGTTCTTGACGTGCCTTTTATGATATATGACTCCAAGGCAGGTAAGGGGTAGTCAACGCGAAGAAAATTTCCAGCAAACGTTAGCTTGAATTTCATCCGATTACTTCCAGTAAGCAAACGTCTACTGAGAACCTGGACTGTTTCGTTGTTTTGACTTCATGTATACACCGTATTCATAAATGGCGGGCGCGGAACAGCCTGGTTTCGAATGCATGAATGCGAGGCTTGGTAGGCCAGAGAATGCAGACTTATATTTTATTCAGGCTTTGTGACTAAAATTTCTCATAAAATATTGTTGAAATCGTCGCTATTTTCGGAGGATATAGGCAGAAAATCGTTTTCATCGTCACTAAACGGGATATCCTTGAGTGAACTAAAGATTTCCAGCGCGGAAAGGCTGAGAGATGCCAACAAATTGCTGTGTGCCGCTCTGTAGGAAGAAGGGCCAGTGGGACAAGGAGACGGGTGAAAAAATTTCTTTTTTTCGCTTTCCTGAGGAAGAAAACCTCAAAAAGCAATGGATTCATGCTATAAGGAGAGATGTTGGACCGAATTTTTCAATAAACGAGGGAACCCGAGTTTGTTCGAGGCATTTCAGAGGGGAAGATTTGCAGAGAAGTCTCAGTGGAAAAGTTAGCCCCAGAACAGGAGCTGTGCCGAGTAAATTCGCATGGAAGCGAAGTTCGCCTCGCAAACGAGCACCACTGACACCACGCTTCAGGGCTGCAACAGTAGGACTTATACAGGGCAAGCACGCCGGCTGTGTTACAATGTATGTTTTAGCAGAATTCTCATCAATGACCTTTTTTAAAACGTTTTCGTAGCCGGTTCAATTGCAAGTGCCAGACCACTTAGAAGAGGAAGAGGAAGGAGTAAGTGATAGATACGTCCGGACGTTAATATAACCTTAAAGAATTAGGCCCCTTTGAACGACGCACATCAACCAGAAGTTGATTAGTGCATCTTTAGGCAGTGGTTCCAGACAATTAGTCTCCAAAACAGTTTAAGACACTTAATTTCAAGGCATATTAATACAATGAGACACGGGCCTGACTTTAGTATTTAACAATATTAGGGGGAAATTGCAAAGTGAACTCGTGTCACTTGACCATGTTTTTCCCTTTACTTCATGTTACTTGTATTAAACTGTTCTTTAGTTGTACAACAAATAAATAGTTTCACGTTATTTTGACTACAACAATTGCTTTAGACTGTTTCTACCACTTGATTTTCTCTTTGATTAAAGGCACAACTTCAGTCTGCCCATTATCGCATTAGGCCCTGTTTACAAGGTGGGAGGGTAACCCTGGTGCTAGGGTGACCCTAGCAAGAGAGTTACCCTCCCTGCCTTGTAAACGCTCAGCTAGGGATAACTTGCCTACCCGGGTGAACTTTCCGCCGTCATGCGTTACCAGTAATCGTACCAATTTGAATGGTATTATCCAATTTCGGAGCTTAATTGTAAACACCTAAATCATAACAAGTTATTTTCTGTCTACGATTATAATATTTTTCCTTCTTTAGTGAATTTCATGTGTTTTCCATAGAGAACTTCAAGATTATTTCAAAGTTTGGACCGTTGCAAAGAATGTCACATCACGAAACACGTCAGCAAAGCTGGTAAAGTTGAACCGGGTGATAGGGTAACCCTACCTGTGAAAATTGCTTGTAAACCTGACCCGCTTGCTAGAGTAACCCTAGCACAAGGTAACCCTCCCTCCTTGTAAATAGGCCCTTAGCAATTGGAATTCCGCCAAGGAGGGTGATTCGAAAATGTTTTGCAAATGCATAATCTAGTGTTATGCACCTTTCACTCAGTCATACATTAAAAACAGCTTGTTAAGAGCACTAGTTATTTTTTTTTGCACCTATGGATGTAAAGTTAACTATTAATTTTTCAGTGGGTCAAACACCCATCATAAGTAGAACTGAACAGAATATGACAAAAACTCCTTTTGTTCATTTTATTCATTACAACCTCTACAAACCTTTAGCTGTAATTATCTGTGTTTCTTAACAGGGTGTTACAGGTGCAGTGCTAAGGGGCACACAGCCCATGTGTGCTCCTCACGCGTGGTAGAAGATGAACTGCAGGGTGAGGAGGTGTATTAGTGGGGACTTATGTTACTGTTAGGGCTATCCAGTGATAAATAATAATAATTGTAATGGGAATAAGTGGAGTCCAACTTTGTCTGTACATGAGTGAAGTTCTCTTAATAACAAATGATGATGGTTATACCAAACGTTATGATGTTTAAAGCTTATTGCAGATTAGGACCTCACAAATATTCTAAAAGCTTTTTGCTCATAGTGAATAGAAAACACATTCGAGGGCATGGCAACAATGACCTGTACTGTCACCCAATTCAGTACAATGCATGATGTGTACTTCAAATCCCTATATTAATGGTAAAATTAAGACAGCTGATAGTCAGCCCAGTCAAACTAGATAATATTTTTACAGCCATTATTAATATAACTATTTGTTTCAATTTGTAGAGATTCATATTAAGTGCTACAACTGTGGGGGGTGGGGCCACGAGAAATCTGTGTGCCGCACCCCAAAGCGCAAGCCGCGCAACAAGGGTAAAAAAGTTATGTTATATGGAAATTTTTTATGAGTGAAATACTGAGAGTAGACCTGCAGGTTTCTCCAAACTAAAGCTACATCTTCATGTACATGGATGCTGTAAACTTCAGATTACAAAGTTTGGGCTTATACAACTAGACTAAAAAAAAACTTTCACAACCAGCTATGTTGTTCTATGTTGTTCTACCCTAACCTTTCCCATTACATTACCAACTATTAAAATCATTTTTTGAAATGCTTACATATAGTTTTTGACCATTTATTATCTATTATCTAGTATTCGTCTTTCTTCTGACAGGAAATGATCATGGAACTGGAGGAGGCCAAAGCCATGGCCAGAATGTCTTTTATATCTATAATAAGTAACCATTTATTACATATTTACTTACTATAACTACTTATTATAGATATTAAAAAACATTCTTTTCTATTATGCATTCACTACATTCATTCCTATTATATCTATATATTTAATTTTTTTATACAGTTTAAAGGGGCTGTGTCACGGCAGTCCAGTCATTTTGTTTAATTTTGCCAATTGCTCGCCATCAATCCCTATAGAACTTAAAGCAAGCGAACAAATTACATGTAAATGACAAAATCAGAGGCCTGAGACAAACAAATATGTCTCCTGAGTGTAACATTGCTAAGAGACTAGTCTAACCTCGCCCCAGGACCTCGGGGCGGTAATCACGTGGGGTTCGTTGAGAGAGTGTAGACGGCCATTTTGGCTGTGCAGTTGTAGTTGTTTTGAGACGTTATTAAAGAAGAGTTTAATCACTGTTACACTGGTTGCAGCGGTGGGATAAGAAGAAATGGCCTCAAGGGAAATTCTGGAGGATGTAATTCAGCGGCTTACCGTGCAGTTGAAACTGACGAAAGCTACCTTGAAATCGACTAGCGAAGAATTTCAGCAAACACAAAAGAACCTTGAAACCATGGAAAAGGAACACAAACGAGTCATTCACGAAATTGGCGAGCTGAAAAAACAAGAGTCCCAGCTAATCAAAGAGAGGGAAGAAGCCAAGGAATCGGCGAGAATAGTGTTGGACAGTCTATCAGAGTTTGAAAAAAAAAGTACGTGAAACCGTCAGCGGCGGGCGACGAGAGTGAAGCCTGAAAAATTCTCGGGAAGCGGCAACGACACAGATTTTCAGGCGTTCTTGGACCAGTTTGAGGCTTGTGCGAGAATGAACGGCTGGAAAGAAGAGGAAAAAGCAAATCAACTGATCCTGTGCATGANCATTGCTAAGAGACTAGTCTAACCTCGCCCCAGGACCTCGGGGCGGTAATCACGTGGGGTTCGTTGAGAGAGTGTAGACGGCCATTTTGGCTGTGCAGTTGTAGTTGTTTTGAGACGTTATTAAAGAAGAGTTTAATCACTGTTACACTGGTTGCAGCGGTGGGATAAGAAGAAATGGCCTCAAGGGAAATTCTGGAGGATGTAATTCAGCGGCTTACCGTGCAGTTGAAACTGACGAAAGCTACCTTGAAATCGACTAGCGAAGAATTTCAGCAAACACAAAAGAACCTTGAAACCATGGAAAAGGAACACAAACGAGTCATTCACGAAATTGGCGAGCTGAAAAAACAAGAGTCCCAGCTAATCAAAGAGAGGGAAGAAGCCAAGGAATCGGCGAGAATAGTGTTGGACAGTCTATCAGAGTTTGAAAAAAAAAGTACGTGAAACCGTCAGCGGCGGGCGACGAGAGTGAAGCCTGAAAAATTCTCGGGAAGCGGCAACGACACAGATTTTCAGGCGTTCTTGGACCAGTTTGAGGCTTGTGCGAGAATGAACGGCTGGAAAGAAGAGGAAAAAGCAAATCAACTGATCCTGTGCATGAAAGAAAAAGCTCATGTGGTTATGTCTCAACTTTCGGCGAGTGACAAGAGCTCTTACACATGTATGGTGGAGGCCCTTCGCAAGAAAATCGGCATGCACCAGGTTCCCGAAGCCGCTAAAGCTACGCTCAAAGCGCGACGAAGAATGGTGGGAGAAAGTTTGTTAGATTTGAGTATTGATATTAAACACTTGTGCGGGGAGGCTTACCCGACTTTGAGCTCGGCTAGTTTGGAGCAAGCTTGTGTAGATCATTTCACTGATGCAACTGGGGCGACACTTGCAAAGGACGTAATTCGCTCTAAGCCCTTGACCCTAGATAAAGTCCTGTCAGAAGCTCTAGAACTCGAAGCATTAGAACTCAGAGCAGTGAGAATGAGAGAAAGGGTTGTGAGTGTAGTGTCAACCCACGAGAAAGAAAAGCCGGAAGAAGACTGGCCACGTTTTGAAATTGAGTCTCTTCCCGAAGACGACCACGAACTAAAGGGTGAAAGAACTATTTTCATCCTGACTCTTACAGAGAAATTGCACGAGTTGCTTGTGAAATATTCCTCTTGGACAGCCTGGCTGCTGAAATTCAAGGCGTACCTTTAGTATCATAAAGGCAAGAAAGCAGGTATGGAAAAGGACCCCACTACGGCAGATCTGGAGAAAGCAACATTGACTACAGTTAAACTAGTAGAAAGAGAAGTATACGCAGAAGACATACAGGATTAGGAGACGAGAGGTCATGTCAAACCTTCGAACAAGATTGAAGAGCTCCGACCCATATTGGATGGCTGCATCATGAGGGTTGGAGGTCGCATTGCAGATGCCCCTATTGCGTTTGATGCCAAATTCCCTACGATTGCTCCACCAAAGCACCATGTAGCCCAGCTACTGATTGCAAGCTTAAATCAGAAATTATTACATGCTGGACAAGATCACATCCTGGTGCACTTGAGGGAGAAGTTTTGGATACCTAGTGGGAGATCTGCCATACATAAGGTTGTGAGATTGTGCATGACATGCAAAAAACAGAGAATGGCAACCATGGAACAGATGATGTCCGCCTTACCAGCATTTCGCACCAAAGGTTATGAGCCGTGCTTCACTTATTCTACTCCAGTTCTGGCCCCTCTCTCTCTGTCACGCAACGCCGGGAAAGAGTGTCCAGGGACAATTGTTTGGGCATGTCAGCATCCGCAGTAGTTTTTGGCTACTTTTCTAGCTAATTGTCACTGCGCATGAGTGTATCTGGAAAACCACAGTGTTTCAACATGGCAGATTCTCACTTGTTGGTGAATGAAAAGTAAAGAGAAATGTTTCCTGAATATGATTGGGGTTTTTATTACCGATAATTTTCGAAGGAGTATTCTCGTTTTAATATACACCGATTCAGCCTAAGACCGGAAGTTGCATGAAAGCGAGGCCTAAGGGCTATCTTTCGGGCGAATATCATAAACATGGTGTCTTCAAGTAAATAAAAGAATTCCAGTCACAAGTGTTGAGCGACTGCTCTTTCCAATAATTGTTCAGATAACCGACCAGGTTTAAATTTTCATAATTTCCCTCTGGACGAAAAGCTGAAGAAAATCTGGAATCAAAAAATGAAGTGTGAGGACAAAAAATTTGCCTCAAACAGCTCACTCTTCTGCGGTTCTGAACATTTTAGTGAGGACTACAGGAAAAGCCTTACTGGCAAAAGACGTGATCTTGTAAAGAATGCTGTTCCTTCCATTTTCCTACGGTCAGTTGGCAATGACGAAGCCTCTGAAAGGTCCGAAAGAGTCAAAAGTCGGGAATGCCAAAGGATTAAACTTTCTGTGATCCCATCCAAGAGTATGGAAAATAAACATCACTCATACGATGCACCTGACATCTCTACAAAGGAGACTCAAGACAAAGATTCAGGTGAAAAACCATTCAAAGAAGAGAGAGACTTGGTTGCCAAGAATTATGATTGTAAACAAAAGCCGTTTCTTTGAAAATTTGGTTTGAGAGGTTTAGATCGAATGATAATGACATTTTTCTACACAGGATTTCAGAATTACCAAACTTTGACGGCATTTTCGAACTTTATTAAACCTTGCTCTGAGTCTCTGATGTCGTAGAACACAGCACGCGAAAAAGTGAAAGAAAGCTCCGCAAACAATGCTAATCCATTTCCTTTTTTGCAAGGACAGGAGAAACAAAGAAATAGAAAGAGAGAAATAGAGCCCATCGATCAGCTGTGGTTGTTTCTAACAAGGGTGCATCTTGGCTTATTCGAGGGTGACTTGGCACAGATTTAGCGTCTCTGTAAGTACTGTCTCTGATGTTTTTATTACTTGGGCAAACTACCTTTACATAATGTTGGGAAGTTTGCCTTTATGGCCTTCAAGAGACAAAATAAAACAACACTTGCCAGATTCTTTTAAAGGAAGGTATGAAAACGTACGTGGAATTCTTGATTGCACAGAGCTGAAATGTGAGTTGCCCAAGGATTATCAGAAGCACTCAGAAATGTACTCAGACTATAAATCTCACGACACATTTAAAGGGCTAATTTGCATTTCACCGAGTAGATGGATAACATTTGTTAGTCAGTTGTATCCTGGAAGAATAAGTGATAAGGAAATTGTGAAGAGTAACGTCTGTCAGACAATTGAAATGGGGGACCAGTACCTTGCAGACAAGAGCTTTGAGATCTATGACCTAATGGTCCTCAGAGGAGCAAGTTTATATATTCCTCCAAAGAGATTTTCTGCCAATTACCAGTTCACACAAAGCCAGTGTTTTGAGACCATAAGTATAGCAAATGTGCGTATTTATGTTGAAAGAGCAATTTAGGGAATCAAGGCTTGGCATATTTTTAGTCAAGTTCTGCCTCTTTCCAGTTTTGGGTCTATAAATCAGATCTGGACTGCATGTGCTTTGTTAGTAAATTTTCAATATCCAATTACTTCACTTTAAAGAGAGGAAGCTTTCAGTTTTTTGGAAGGGATGGGTTGTTATATCAGGGAACTAACAAGTGTGTTTTTTAGGAATTGAATGTTAAACTAAAGATTCTGAAGCTGTTCAGGTCCTGTTACTTTATATAGGTCTCTGGTTTGGGTTTCTTCAATAATATTATTGGAGGACTTGATATGTGAAAAAGTAAAAGCAAAAATAATATTATTCTGTCAAATGCACATGGGTAGATTGGGTACTCAGATTTAAAACTGATGGAGACTGACTGTGATTGAAGAAAATATATTTGTTATAGTAGTGATGGTGATAATAATATAGAAAATAAAACCAAAATTTGTCTTTTTTTCAAAACTAAAAGTCTATCTGTAAGACAACTCCTAAAAAATAAGTCAAAATTTTCAAAAACAATACACAAAAAATATCTAGTTTCACCTTCCCTACCACCACCATCCCATCACTTGTAAAGTATAACTTGAATACCATTCCTTGTGCTTTAGAACCAACTAACGCTCTTATGCAGACATTTTGTTAGAGTCAACTTATATTTTCCAAGAAACTAATACGCCCTATGCAGAACGAAAAGAGACTGGGAGCGATAAATGTGAAAACGAGGTTAGTTGGGCCTTGTTTGCTCGTGTTAGAAATATGGCTGCTCATGGCTCTGTAAGTAGCCGTCTTTCTCAGAGTCTTACGGAGGAAGATATCCCCAGAGCATCGCTTCAAGGAAGAAATCCGACTGCTCTTAAAACAGATGAACTTCGCTTTTGGTTAAAATGTTGTGGCGATCCAGCAAAGGGGTTAAAAACAAAGGCACAATTGGCGAAAAGGTAAATACAGTATTTGTCAGTCGTGCGTGATACTTTTTAGAATTAAAAGAGACTTTGATATTGTAAATGGAGATCAAAAGATTTAGGAGTTATTTTTCTCGATGAAATGTTTTCAAAAATGTAATGATTTCTACTTTTCATTTTGAAGAGTTCTTGAATAATGTTGCGTCTGGTCATGATAAAGATGTTGTGGATCCCGATAAAAATCTGATATACACGCATCGAAAGGCGAGACAAGAACAACTCGCTCAAAGTGATGCGATGCCTGAGGAAAGCACTGTTAAATTTCCATCAGCTGGATGGTCTACAAGTTTGCAACGAATGCAGAGATGGATTTACATATTTCTAAATCTGGAAAAAACTTTGACAGAAATAAACAGAACCATGCTGTTCCAACAATATGAAACCAGGCGTGAAAGCACAATAACAAGCATGAAAAAGGCAAAAACACTTCTTGATGATGAATACCTGAGAGACTTAACTTGCGCAAGTGATGACCAATATTTCTATTTTAAATGCTTGCGTTACCATAGCTTTAAAAAAATGAGCCACCCCACAAATTACAAGTTGCACTTTGTTTAGTAAGTGGAGTTGTTAAATATGCTTCGTGTATATGTGTAGCAGGATCTGTTGGTTTTTGCAATCATGTGCTTGCCGTTATGATGAAACTCTGTAAGTTCAGCTTGTATTGTTGTCAAGATATTAAGGACTTGAAAAATGAATCTGATATGACACAAGCGAAGGCATGCACTTCAAGTTTACAACTATGGCACAGGCCTGTAAGAGGAGATAAAATCAAGCCCCAACTTGTCATGGAACTTGAGGTAAAAAAGTCGAATATAGACACAGAGAATAACCCTGATAGTGGAGTAAGGTGCTTGTTGTATGAAGCTAGGAAAAATTTGGGTACACAGGCATCTGATGAAGCTTTGTTAAAAAACAAGCTTCAAGAGATCAACCCTAAGTTTGCCCTGTCTCAAATTATGTCTACTGGTGGTACCAACTTACAGGAAACAAAATTTGGAAAATGTCCAAGTCGCTCATATGCAAGTTACCAGCTACAGTTCACAGAGTCTAATTTTCAAGTTTTCTGTAATATTGACATCTGATCCTCAATTCTGGGACGTATTGAATGAAGGCCTAAAGAAGAGCTATTTTGAACATTTCATAGCACCAGCTTCTGTACAGTTTAGTAACCATTAGAAGGGTTAACTACCCTAATCTAATCTTGGCATGAGTAAAGAGAAATTTTGTCTCATACCTGACTTGATATGTTTAAAACAGAGTATCAACCAACATGGTCTGTATAATAAAATAGCTTTCTTTATTCTTTGATTTTAGATCTTTAGAACTACTTGTAAAAGCTGACATCTTTTAAGTGTTTGGGACAAAGCAAGCGAATCACATACTTAGTTTAAGTTGGTTTAGAAAATATTTGACCTGAGGTGTATCATCAGGTTTACATTTATTAAATTGACTGAAATTCTGTAGTGTTCCTCAGAGCTCTGCCTAACTCAGTGTTAAGTGGAAATAAGAGAATGTTACATAAAAAGGCACAGACACTCCACATTTGGTTTACTACCCCAAACAAACTGAGGGGTACAACACTATCCCATAAGTGAAAATTATTGACTTTATTGATGGCCCGTTCAATGTGTATTCTAACAGAAGCAATTTCTTGAGTCTTGATAACATCTTGTGCTGTCATTTAGCTATTAGACCCTAAAAAGGGGGGAGTGTTTAGGGTTACACCCAGTGGGAGTAGGTCTTCAATTGTAAAACCTTTCTCGGCCATCACGGTGTCACCACTGTCAAACTCTAACTTCAGGAAACCACTTCGTTCAACAATTTCGCGATCGGAAAAGCTTCCACTATATAGCTGACTGATAAAAGTTATAACTCCACTGGGAGCAATTCCAACTGAGCCTTTTAGAGTTATATGGTTCTTATAGGAGCTGAGCAATTTGGAATTCAACAGAAGGCTGGAAGGCATTTGGCATCTAATTAATTTTCTGTACAATCGATTATTACACGGGTGCAGGAGTATTTCTCTTTAAAGCTGTCTGGCATTGTAGCTCTTATAACCTCCCTATTAGGCCATAGAGATACTTGACCAAATTTCAAATACATGTAATTTATCCAAGAAAGGAATGTTCTGCTTACTGTCAACTGTGAAATACCAAACAAGTGAGCTAGATGTTTTTCTGCAAATCCCCTTCTCAGTCTTCAGAGAACAAGGAAGAACTCCTCTCTGGGTCCTAAGCTTCTTCGTCTACCTATGCTAGTACATTCCTCTGGTTCCTAGTTTCCACTATTGTAAAACTCCTTTTGGACAGTTCTTTCTTTTGATGAACAGTACCTAATGTTTTCCCCTTTCGATCCAGTATTTAAAAATTCAAACACAGCATTAAATGTTGCTAAATACCTCGAATTCCTTACAGTTCTTTAACTTCTTCTTTTTGATCTTCACACGAACTTAAGCTGTTTTCCACATCATGATAACTAATAGCTGCTGATGAGGTACAGGTTTCAGAAGTTGCTCCAGCTGCATCTGCAGTTGTTTGACTTTAAGATGATTGCAACTCCTTGTTTCAACACTGTTGTAGGCGAAAGATTGCGACATATAGCAGGTGCTCGTTTTTTCGGAGAACCTTTGGACCATGAAAATCGAGATAGAATTACCCCTGCCTGTACATAAACACGCTGACCTCCAATAGCTTTAACCAAGTCCTCGGTCTTAAAATGACGAGAACAGTTTTTTTATGTTTTGGTTGGCTCTAAACGCTTCTCCTTCGTCTCGACGAATGGCATGGAGCCAACGTTTTTTGAAGATAATGTCGTCTGGAAACTTCAAGTAAGAAATTTTCTCCCCGTTTTCGGTTTCGTATTTCTTTTTGGTACAGTTTGGCACAAAACAATTTTGCGACATTTTCAAAAACTGGCGCCCTTCACATCAGGTGGCCATTCTTATTTACCAGGCCCAACTCTTTTCGTTCTGCATAGGGTGTATAGTGTTGCTTTGCAGTTCTAAAAACACAACTGTTTTTATTTTGAGATATATTTCTTGTGAAAAGCAATTAAACCAGGCTTAATTTCATCCTCCCACCTTCACGATAATGTGACTTTGAGAACCAAAACTGGAAATGTTGTTGGTAAATATGACAAAGTCAGTTAATGGAATTCCACTGACCCCCATTTGCATCTGGGACTGAAACCAATATTTGTGATTTTCTTTTACTTCAAAGACAGAGTTCAGTTCCATAAATGGGAAACTGTTTTCCTTTTGATGATTATTTATTGCAGTCTCTGGTGACATATCCTGCTTGGACTCTTAACAATTTATTTCCACATTTCTGTATTCAATGTCACCATTGGCATACACAATCGTTGCCATTCTGTCAGGGCTTGCTGCAAGAACATCATTTTCTTTGCCTAAAATTAATCCCATCTCTTAACTGTCACTTCCTTGATGTCTCGCAATGACAAGAGATATTCTTTGTACAAATCAGCGCCACAGGTTGATTTTCAATACCAAAAATCAATCCTTTACTTTTATAATTAAGATGTTATGCTTGTCAATAGCTGACCATTTTTTTGGGTGCTCCTTTTGTTGTAATTTTTTTACTAGATTTTCTGGTAATTTTGACCCTTGTTTTTGCATATGAGAAAAGACATCTTTACAGATACTAGCAGTTATTGTTTCGCTTTTGTTCAAACCAAGCAGGATTCGTTGATTGTCCTCTTGTTNAAATGTTGTTGGTAAATATGACAAAGTCAGTTAATGGAATTCCACTGACCCCCATTTGCATCTGGCACTGAAACCAATATTTGTGATTTTCGTTTACTTCAAAGACAGAGTTCAGTTCCATAAATGGGAAACTGCTTTCCTTTTGATGATTATTTATTGCAGTCTCTGGTGACATATCCTGCTTGGACTCTTAACAATTTATTTCCACATTTCTGTATTCAATGTCACCATTGGCATACACAATCGTTGCCATTCTGTCAGGGCTTGCTGCAAGAACATCATTTTCTTTGCCTAAAATTAATCCCATCTCTTAACTGTCACTTCCTTGATGTCTCGCAATGACAAGAGATATTCTTTGTACAAATCAGCGCCACAGGTTGATTTTCAATACCAAAAATCAATCCTTTACTTTTATAATTAAGATGTTATGCTTGTCAATAGCTGACCATTTTTTTGGGTGCTCCTTTTGTTGTAATTTTTTTACTAGATTTTCTGGTAATTTTGACCCTTGTTTTTGCATATGAGAAAAGACATCTTTACAGATACTAGCAGTTATTGTTTCGCTTTTGTTCAAACCAAGCAGGATTCGTTGATTGTCCTCTTGTTGCCATTACAATTTGTTTTTGCTTGTCTGTAAGAGTTTCAATAAATAATGTTTCTGTTTGGACTGTTGGCATTTGTACTTCAGATGCATCAATTGTACTTTCAAAATCGAAATATTCTGTTCTTGCTGTTGGTTATTAACATTACAATCTGATATCTGCTGAAGCTGTAGCTCATCATAATCATTAGCAGGAGTGCTAAGGGGTGCCATTTCTGATTCACACTGCACAGTGGAAGGTGGAGCAGAGATTTCACGATTCAAACTTGAATTTGAATTCAGTGCTTGCCCATTTGAGACAGGATTCATATTTTCTTTACCAGCAAGGGAGGAACTACTAAAATAGGGTACTACGAAATTTGGAGGCTGCCGGTAATAATCTTCAAGTTGCTTATGAATTGCTGAACCTTTAGCAACAGTGCCAACTATAGTCATTACTGTTTGAATAGTCTATTCCTCTCGTAACAGCTGCAAAGGGTATACGAGCATTTATTTTCTGAAGATCTTGCCTCAGCTTTACAATTCCATCAGCGTCAAGCTTCTGTGCTTTCAATGGTCTGGGATCGTAAAACTGAGAGTCAATACTCCTTTTCTTCCTACCAGGTAAGTCAGACGCATGTCTTTGTTTTGTTATTTTTAAAGCCATCACTGGAAAGAACTCTACTTCTCGTCTAAACTCTTTTCTTTTGATGTGCAGCATCTGCTGTCAGGAGTGATATTTTTTAGCTCTGACTTTCGCGTCATGTCCTCAAGTTTCCATTTGAGCGCCATAACATCACAACAACACCCACTGTTGGAAGCCGGACACTGCCTATCACACTTTGCTGCTAGAATCTTTGGGATCCGGCTTTGTTTACAAACCATTTTTACCTTGTATTTAAAATTCCTCTTATTGGAAGCCCAACAGCAAGCACGGACGTATATGATGTTATTTACTGTGTTATTATACACCTCTAAATTGTGCACAAAATTGACCATATGGAGGCCTTTGTCATTTGAGTTTATAACAACTGCTGCATTGGTAAATTTCTTCATGGATTTACCGGAATTTTTTAACTGCTCAAAAGCACCGATAGGCACAAATGAGGGCGAAACAGAAAAGCCCTCTGAAAATTGGGTGGGAAAGTGTCTAAAATAGAACTACACGAGCTTGCTTGTTGGTCGATCAGCTCAGTCTGGACTGTTTAGAAATTAAGGGTCTTTAGCTTTTCAACCTTTGCTTTCGTGTAGCTCCTATCAGGATCAGGGTCATAAACTTTCTCTCTGTAGTAAGGAATCGCGTTGAATACCCTGCCCCAGAAAAGAAAGAAATCTCAAACTAAAAGCAGAAAAAAAAAAGATTTTAGCGAAAACGAAATTCTTTTGACTAGCATGGAAGGTTATATAACAGTGTTTATGTAACGCAGGTGCTGCGAAACTTACTTTTCGACAAGATCTTTCTTCAGTCCCTGTTGGTTCAGTCTTCTGCATTTCAACCAAAATTTCAATTGTGGAATTGTCCCTTTACTTATGTCTTCTCCATTTTTCGCGGATGAACATGGAATGTCTTTTGGTGTAAGGTTTACATCAGAAGACATTCCATGTCTTCCATGCAAAGTCTCGGTGTTTTCTGCCATGATGAAGAGAGCCCTTAGGCCTCACTTTCATGCAACTTTTGGTTTAGGCTGGATCTGTGTATCACCACTGAAGGGACTGATGGACAATCAGATATTGTCTTTAAGCCAGCTCGGTTTGTCATGCTTAAAACTTACACCTGACATATCTGAAACATGCATGTGCAGGCTGCGAGGTGGGAATTTTCAGGTGGCCGTTCTTTCACTTGAGTCTTCTGAGTGTGTTGTTGTGAGGACTACACTTAGGTCAGTGAAGGAAAAGACTGATTATGTAGCCATAGACGAAGCGCATTGTATCGAACAGTGGTTAGTATTTTATGATGATAATTTTTTTTATGCACATGTTTGCTTTTCGGTTATTGCTTTTGTAGATTTGTCCAAGCTGACAGCATTTAAATTGCTTTGTTATTAACCAATGCACAGCATACACGAATGAACCTTGTTGCATATAGCATAAACGCAGATACTTCATTAAATGACAAAAAAAAATGTGATATATGCCTGTTGACCTCTTTCTTCAAGGGGCAAAGACTTCAGAAGTACCTATGATAACCTTGGAGATGTAAGAGCTCTTTTGCTTCCAAAATTACCAGTAAAGGCGCTGACAGCAACTGTAACTGAAGCAAGTTTGGCATATATAGTGAAAAAGCTTAACATGAAAAATTTCTCACTTAAAGGTTCAAATAATAGACAAATATTTTCTATTCTGTCTCAAAACTTTCGCGAGACAACTACGCTTTGGATTCTTGACTCAGGTCTTCAGAGGAAAAAGTAATACTGCTGCTGCTTCATTAATCCAGGATGTTGTGAAACGGTGCTGGTTGTCAGAAATGTATTGGAAAAAAGGTGCCCATCTCCGATTAAAATTGTCTGTAAAAGATGATTTGATTCATGAATTACAGCAAGATCTAACGAAAAAGAACCTACAATATGAATTACCGGAGTCGATCTGCAGCTGCAATCAGTAATAGAGAATCAAAGTGAAAAAAGTGGGAAATTGGTATCTATCGTTTCCCATCTTCTTCTGAACACCAATAAAGAAAGCAAACATTGAAATGATGACACCAAGTTACTGTTTGCAATCATTTTGGATTATGGAGGTCCAGCTTTATTAAAGATAATAAAAGAAAGAATTGGTGGGCCAAGTCTTCAGACCACGTACGCAATAGCAAGAAGTAAAGTGCAAACTCCCACAAAACTAGAAGAAGATTCCCTTGCTAAAGTGGCTTTGTTTTATAATCGCATTGGTTATAAAGGGCCTTTCATTTTAGCTATTGACGCCACAGCGATCCTACCTTGCCTACGAGTGAGTGGAAACCAAATAGTAGGAGTTACAAGTGAAGAAGACATTTCTGTACATACGGCGCAGGACATTATTGAACTGACCAATAATGAAAACTCAGAAAAGGCATGCCAAGCGAACACATTCGCTTTAACCCCTGTTCAAAAACACGTGCCTAGCTTCGTACTTGCGATTTCACCTGTTGTTAAAGGTCAAGATTATGCGACCGTCAAGAATTGGGTTAATCCGGTGCTCAACTATGGAGCTCAACAGGATTTACCAGTCATTATAGGAATTGGCGCAGATGGGGACTCCAAATTTAGAAAGTACTTCCGGGAAGAGTTCTTGAAAAGGCCTGCACTAACAGATAGAACAGTCTGAGCAGCCTGAACATTCTCCCGCCGATGATGAGCTGCGAGAAGTCAGTTTTACTTTCGCTAATGACCTTGATGTCCCCAAAGTACAGGTACAAGACATGCAGCAACTAGATGAATATGAGACTGATTCCAATACAGGAAGTGATGAAGAAGGTAACTTGGAAGTAGTAAGACATGTATGACCAGGTCTGGAAGAGCAGTACGTACATTTGTGTGTCTGGATCTATTTACGACTTATTTATACTTACAGCGAAAATTGGTTAACAGCTATCCCTTATTTAAACAACTTTTACTCCTTCGGTTAGACAATTGTGTTATTTTCTTTACTGTTTTTCTGTCACTTATAAATCACGCGAGTGGTGTAGTTCATGTGAATTCATTTAACTTATACTTTGATTTTAGTAGGTCCACTCCAAAAGTGATTGATCTGCTGAAATAAACAAAATTTGAATTATAGTGCAGTAATATATGCTACTAACAAAAATTAAAATTAATATCTAACTAAAATTAGTAGTTAACTGAGAATTGGCCAAAAAGTAGTAGTTAACTAAGAATTAGCCAAAAAATTAGCAGTTGACTGATAACTGGGTACCGCCATTAGCAACCTCGTTTATGTTCAGCAGGGGAAATTTAAAATTATTTAAAATGTACAACAGATGATTTATTCAGTTTGCACGTATTCCTATATGTCTACTGAAAAATACATTAATATAATAATTTTTCTGTAGCTGCTATAATCTTAGGGAATATGCTTTTAATATCTCCGTACAGTTTAGGTTTGCGCGATCTCAGAGAACAAAATTCAGCCGTACAGAGCACATAGTCTTTAAATATATCCAGATCTGACACTGGTTTAGTGTATTTATCACGTCTTTAGTAGAAGCATGATGTAAATACATTATGATGCTGTGTCCTTTGAATGTCGTTTTAAAACTGAATCGCTTTGTAAATGTGACTTGTAGTTTGAAAATCAGAGGAGAGTATTTTAAAGCTCGACATTATTCAATACCATTAGAATGTTGGTTTATCAATCCACTGGCTTCTTTGTAAAAGCACCCATGGACTGAAACTGCAGCTTGTACCCTATCAGTATCGCAGTGATACTGTACAATTTGCAAATAAGTTAAAGAGGAAGTGTCTTCTCTATCCTGAACCAGTGAGCAAACACAACCCATCTTTCTACCTTCCCATTGACTTAAATGGTTCTCCCTTGAAAGCTGTGAATGAATGTTTGCTTGATATTTGCTGGCATAGCAAAGTTACTGTGTAAATGTTTGGTTACTAGAGTTGTAAATTTAAGCAAAAAATGATCAAGGAATTATCTTCACAACCACTTTAACCAACGTTTGCACATTGACCAAACTTGCAATTTCATGCAAGGTTTCCTTTACCATTGCCTCGTTTGTTCAATCACCATCAGTCTTCGCAAAGTTTATCAGTAATGTTATTTGCTCTAGCTGGTTATTTTAGGTAAGATCCTCTTATCCCTTGTAGTTGGTTTCTCATGCAGTAAGCAGGCCGTTTTACACCTTAATATAATTTGAGGATCACTTATCTCGTAGAGATTTGTAACGCATTTGTAACTGCACATTTAACTGGCACGTGGCTGTAGTTTGCCTTGTCAAAATTCCTGCACGCATATTTCCGAGGCCACAGCTGATTTCAGCAGTTTTCTCGAACGACGCTGACCAACTCGACGACTCAACAGACTAAGCATCACTTTATCCACACTACACTGCAAAGAGAGCGCTTCTGGAGGAGTTTAAGTGGTACGCAATTTGTTCTCTGTAATCGTGAAAATGTTAAAAGGATATTTGTAAAAGCTTCATTGAATGTGGTGGTAAGCTTATAAAAACAAAAGTTGTTTTGAAGGATTCTATTTTGGTCACATGTTTCTCTAAACCCTGTCGTGTTTATTCTTGCATGTTGAAATAATTATCTGTTAAAAAATGAAGGGTTCCAAAGCCCAAAATTATCCTTTCGTCCTGTGCCAGTACAGAATTACACTTGCAAGATAAAGCATTTTCGAAAATGGGTCCATTATGATGGAATTACAGAGAAGCAGTGCGCAGGAAGTGGCCTGTCTGTACAGCACATACTAGCACAACTTGGAACACCATCACATTGCCTTTATGCTCAACTCTGAGGTACTCAATGTAGAAGTGGATTGAAAAAAGGCTGACCAAAAATTAGAGCTATTTTTCAATTAGACCATGATCAACTAACTTCAATTTTGCTTTCACATTTGTTTTGGATATTTCAGTCCACTTTTAACTTACAACTAATGATTCTAGCAGCAATTACCATGCTATGAGCATTTCTGAACTGCTTTTTGCTATTTTTGGCTACTTTTTTAATTAAGAAACTAAACGTTTTCACATCTGCCTGTGGTGCATCACTTTATTTTGACGTAATATAAAATGAGATTGCTCGAAAAAAAATTCTTGATGACCAGAAATCACCCACTCCCCGCCTCAAGAGTTAAATGGTTGGCTCCTTAATTGAACTTGATTGAACAATAAGGTTCAATTAAGATCGCTAATTGAACACAATCAAACTCTCACAAGAAATCTCAGTAATCAAACCCAATTGAACTTTGATTGAATTCGATTAGGTTCCCTGGTCGTAGTTGGGAAGTATTTGAATAAAAATGGGAAGTTATACCGGAAAAATGCATGTCTTACTGAATGATTCCTTTTTCTAGGGTGTTTTCCGACTAAGTACGTTTCGGCAAATTGGTTGTTGCTGATCAGCGAAGTGTATTTTTTTTAAGCAAACATGTTAACAAGAACACTTAAGTTATAGTCAATCTATTATTCCTTCCGCCTGATTCTTTTTAGGTTAATTGCTGATTTCCTAGTGATTTCTTTGCCACTTTCCTGATACTTTGCTCGCTAAAAGGGCTCTTCAAACTCCAGGCCCTGTCTATTTTAAGTGTTGGTTTAGAACGTTCGATCAAGTTTGATTGGTTCAATTACCGGTAAGTTCGCTAATCAAACTCAAAAAATAGGTTGAGAGTTAAGTTGAGTTTGACAAACTTTGATTACCGAACAGTTTGAGTGGTTACAGCCTTATCAAGTCTGATTGTGTCATGCGATGCCCTTACTCATATCAACGAACTGGCTGGGTTTTCTGTAGATACTATGAAATAATACTGGCTTCTTGGATCGTTGCCATCGACGGAAGTTGTTATTTAATAGATGGGAAAGCACAAAAAAGAGTGCAGAAAAAATTATTTGAAAAGACATCGTAAGATGCTAAAGGAAAGGAAGGCACAAGATGAGGACCCCACCTCCCACCTTCAAGAGGAGGAAGCCACTTCTAGTCCAGCGGAAAGTGTTGTTGATGAGCCTAATCCAAAGAAAAGAAGAGGCAATGATAGTCATGAAACGTTTTGTGCTAATGCACAATACTGCACTCTCGGTGAATTACCACCTGAGTGGCAATTTGACCCCATGAAAGACAATCTGTACTTCTCCTTTGCAAAAATTCTTGAAAATAAGAGAAAGCTACAGAAACTGATTCAAAATCCACTTGGTGATCACTGAGCTGGTAAGTCTTAATAAAAAAAGTAGTTCTGTTCTTACAGTGTTGTATTGGACTCGGGCTTGGTGTGTGGCAGGCAAGGGCGACACAACTTCTGAGCTCCGCAACAAAAATGGCTCCCTCCTCAGAACCGCTCACTGTCAACAACATTCGAAAGATCTGGAAGACAGCATTCCTTCCCAACATCAAGAAATCAGAAATGAACTGAAGACTGAAATTGAAAAGATAAACTGCCTGATAACTAATCTGTCAAAGCGTCCGGACTCGATTGAATCGTCACAGCAATTGATCAGCAATAAATACGATTCCATTTTGAAGTCAATGCAGTCCACCAAGAAACAGATAAACGATCTTAACAACTGGTGCAAAGCCCAAGACAACAAAATCAACCATCTTAATGACTCAGTCTACGATGCTGAAGCAGCCATAGAGTCCATCCAACAGTACTCGAGGAGAGACTGCCTTGAAATTTCAGGAATCCCAATGTTGCCTTTAGATTCTCCAGCAAATCTAACACAAGAAATGGGTCAGCTCATCGGTGTAACAATCGACAAGCAAGACATTTCGATCGCCCAGCAATTGCCTAATACTAACAGTAATACTAAGGGTAAGAAGGACAGATTTATTGTCAAATTGGTCCGTAAAGAAAAGCAAGACGAATTCTACAAGTCACGCAAGCACCTCAGTGGGAAAAAAGCGAGCGTGCTTCCATCCGTGGCTTGTGAGATGGGGAAAAACATCCACCAAGACTCTGCTATGTACATTAATGAATCCCTAACCCAGTATCGTAGTGAACTCTTTGGAAGGGTAGACAAATTCAAGAAGGAAAACAAGTACGAATTCCTATGGACGAATAATGGTAAGATCTATCTACACAAACATGAAACCTCACAGACATTTACATTTACAACATTTGAAGAATTTGAAGACTTCATTGCTCCATAACAATGAAACTTTCATATCTGGTTAGTCCTCCTTGTAAACAACTTAGTAGTTATTTAATAATGGCTTCTTGAAATGTTTGGATACCCCCATTTAATGATTTAGATGAAAGAGAATTTAGATTTGTACTTGGTTCCGGTAATGTCAATGACTTCATCAACTCTGGTGTTGATTTGTACAAAATCCTTCCAAATCCTGACAAGTTCGATACAGTTTGTAAATATTACATCAATTAAAGACGATGATGACTCAGTAATACGAGTTGGTTCTGTTATAAGCTGCTGTAGCCCATACATAGAAATTTCACAAAGTAAATGTGTATTAGAGCCGAAATGGGCAGAGGCCATATTGCAATTCAAGTCACCCATCAGATAATATTCAAGATGGAGAGAGTCTCATTTTCCGATAAGGGTCGAATATTTGAGGACTTACGAACTGCTGTAAAAGACTTTTACACAAAATCGAATTATAATATTATCAAACTTTTTTCTGTTCTTTAAAAGGCAATTTTATTCTTATATTAGATACTTATTGACTAAATAATTTTATCAATTAATGAGGGCACCAATGCAATGTGTGTTCATTTTCACACTAAAAAACGCCAACAAAAAATCGTAGACAGCGACAAGAAGGTGGATGTCATGATGGAACAGCGAAACAGAAGAGAAACATAAAACATGGCAAGTATATTTTGTTAAAAGGAAATAAATTACTTTGTTATTTTCTATAATCTCTTGTGGAAAAAACTGGAACTAGAAAGGAATAGTGTGCTTCACACTTTAACAAATGCAGAATCTACTGCGAGAGGCATTTCTGCTTTCTACTTTAATACCTGTTGCAAAAAAATATTATTTTATATATACTTCATAAAAGAGTTAGCAGGAATAACATACAGGAAGAATGCTTTTAGCATTGCATCATTGTTCTGCAACTCAATCATGTTTATGCTCAGTATTAGTAGTACATCTATGTTTATTAACTTTGGGTTACTTGTTGGCTGCTGGCTAAGTCTTGCTCTTCATTTTACTTTCAGAACAAAAATAAAAGGGCCAAAGCTCTGAGGGAGTCCACCAGCATCAGCTAGTCAAACAAGGACAAGTACCTTGCATGTATGTCCATTCCGTATATGTCCACAGAGGAGTCTTTGTCTGAACCTGAATCAGGAAGACATGACGGCAATTCCTCAGGTTCAGATGAGGACCTCCCAAACAGAAGACTCTGCGTGAGACCACTTCTCTGGCGAAGCACAGAGGAGAACGGGTTAATGGCTCGGTTGGACCGCAAAGTCACTCGACGTCAAAGCCAACAGAGTGCGAGTATGGTTATAGAATGCACAGTGGGACCAGCATCAAACGGAGAAGCACCAGATGATGCTCCCGAGTTTGCTCTTGCACCCACCACTTAGAGAAAGGAACTAAATCATAAACATACAGATAATTTTGCTATTAAGCTGATTTATAAGCACTTCAGCCCTTGCAAAATCTGCATGAAAAAACAACAAAAAAGGCACTACATCTTTTCACATATTATGCTATTAATGCAGTATATATACTGTAACATTTTAAGCCACTAACTATGGTCGGTATGCTATTACTGGCCTAAAATATTACTCATATACCGACTAACAAGTTAAGCCATTAGTTACTGGCTTAAAATATTACAGTACGTAATAAGTGTGGTTCCAAGTTAAGCCGTTAGTTATTGGCTTAAAATGTTACAGTATGTTATAAGTGTGGTTCCAAGTTAAGCCGTTAGTTATTGGCTTAAAATGTTACAGTATGTTATAAGTGTGGTTCCAAATTAAGCCGTTAGTTATTGGCTTAAAATGTTAAAGTATGTTATAAGTGTGGTTACAAATTAAGCCGTTAGTTGTTGGCTTAAAATGTTAAAGTATGTTATAAGTGTGGTTACAAATTAAGCCGTTAGTTATTGGCCTCAAATGCTACAGTATGTGATAACTGTGGTTCCAAAGTAAGCCTTTAGTTATTGGCCTAAAATGTTAGTTTGTAATAACTGTGGTTCCAAATTAAGCCGTTAGTTATTGGCTTAAAATATTACAGTTTGTAATGAGTGTGGTTCTGGATCCAATAAACGATCCCTCCGATCAAAAAACAAAACAAAAGGAGGTAGTCACAAGAGCAAGGACTGGAAGAGGACATCATCATTTGCCGAAAATAAAGGATTGCCTGAAGAATTCAGCAAATTGGATTGAATTAACGCTTAAGGACCAGTATGAATTCCCAGGATTTGACACATCCTCAGCGACGTCGCAACCAAACTTTATTTTCGTTAAAGATTATAGAAAGTTAAGTTTCGCTCCCAGTACTCAATCTCATTTTATTTGGGATGATAATCAGCTGTCAAAACGAAGCACACAAACAGCCAAGCACAATATAGTTATAGATGGTGTGGATACCTCATTAAATGTGAGAAGAGGGCCTTGTGAAGGTGTGAAGAAGTGTACTGGTCCTGACTGTTCCTATGTTGTCTCTAACAGACAAAAGGTCAATCGATGTGTACACCACAGAGACAGTCATTCTCTTGTTTCCACTGGACTATGTCCTGCACATATGGTTTACATATGGCCATCCCTTGACGATGGAAGGCGATGGATTGGGGTTGTGCCAGGCACGCAACATAATCACTCAAAACCAGCACCACACATCCTGTCAAGCAAAGTTAAAGAGGACATCAGGAAAGCGGTATCTGATGATAGTACTAAAACTACCAAAGATATCATGAAGGGATTTGGAATTGGTTACGTCCCCACTGAAGCAAGTTCACCTGCAGCTAACGCTGACCGTGTGAGGAGAGAGAGGAAAATGGCGCTTGGAAAATGGATGTCTTTTCATAAAGAACTTCGTCCACTAGATGAGATACTTGGTTTTGATAAAATTAGGAAAAAAGTGGAAGGTAACCAGTTATATGATGAAAGCACGAACATACGCGAAAAAGTCAACAAAATGATGGGAAAGTATCAGATGGAAGGATCTGAGTATATCTTTACGCCTGCCAGGAAGTACGCGTTTTTTATGTCGCCATTTCAATCAACTCTTTTGAGTAGAGCCGAAGATTTATTCATGGATGTGACTTACACAGGCAACGACTTTTTTCCATACCTTCTTAACATCGTAACTTTCAACGATCAAACATGCGTGTATAACGCGGTCGCAACAGTACTGTGCAGTAGACAAGATGGCGAGACTTATGCCAAGTCGATAACCACAATTTTCGACAAGGTTTCACATGATCACGCTCATTTCTCGAATGGTGCAAAGTTAAGGTCTATACTCGTGGATTTCGACGATGCACAATACAAACGACTGAAAGAATGTCTCGGTGAAGAACTGGCCAAGAAAGTCATCTGGGTGTGCAGTGTTCATTGGCAACGATCAGTGAATAGAGTCTGTAATGTGGTTTGCCAAAACGAGGATGAAACTCGAATCTTCAAAAATTTAGCCCGCAAAATTGAAGAGGAACAAGATAAAGAAAATATTTACCTAATTTTCGATGTACTATCGGGCTCCAGGAAACTGCAAGACGCTAAACAGTTCATTGAGTGCGACCTGTGTTCTGAACTTGACAAGCTTGACAACCACAATTGGACAAAACTGAAGCACTGGAGCAAGTGGTGGTGTCAGTTGAATCACCTAGCAATGTTTACAAGGGCCTTTAAGGAAATGGAAGAGAAAGATTGGGAAAAAGGACCATGTACCACCAATCCAGTCGAGGCATTGAACCGACAATCATTGCTGGAAGGCTGTACCGTTCTTCATACTTTAATGGACAACATTTACCTGGAGGATCGCCTACAAGCGGTGAAAACAGCAGTTTGCGAAGACAATGTTACAACGTCTTATAGGGCATCACCTGGTAAACCAAAAAGTAAACGAAAGCGTACAAGCATTGGGAATTCAGGAGATGAAGGTCCACCAGAGAAGCGCCGCCATATAATCAGTCAGAAAAGAAGGTCGAATGGTAGAGCGTTAATCAATCGTGTCATTGAAGTTGAATATGATGAAAAGAACAAATCAGGAAAGGTGACAAAGTACTGGGGATGGTGCAAAGGACAAATCATGGCATACTGGAAACATGAAGGGTACTTGGTAAAATTTGAGGATAGAATTGAAGATGACGGAACAGTCGTTGCTGGGTGGTCGGATTGGATTGCAGACTTAAATAGCAAGGATGTACGTTTGTTAGATCCGTAATTCAAGTGCTTTAGCTGACCCTGATCAAAGATAGTGTCAAACCATCCCCTGATTGACTTGGCAAAGAAGTGCACCAGGCAAACGCTTCATACACCGGCGGGTCTACAATGCAGGTCACTGGTCACAGGTCAACATACCGGTCACAGTGCTACAGAAAAATAGACAAGCACAAAAGTGTCTCCTAGCCCTAATCGTTATCCAAACTGGTGTTTTACATCGAGGTGAAACTGTTTGCCTTAGATAACAATAACCAATAAAGCAGTGACCTGTACATGTGGCCCGTGGAATGTGACCCGCGTATTAGACCTGGCTTTCGTACACATTGTCATTGTAGCGGGTTGAACCGTCATGAATAAGTACATGTGGGGTTAACAACTCTAACAAACGTTGTTTGATCAACACTATGTCTAGCTTAAGTCCTCCCAGAAATCTGGGACATCCTCCTGGTTTTTTAACCGATCGATCACAAAATTTGTTGAACGTCCCGCTTTTCTCTGCAACTATCATATTCCCCGGCAAATTCCAGAGTCTCCCGATTTCAGGTAGAAATTTTTTTTTCTCCCCAAACAGGCCTTGGTAGAGTTGTCACCCCACGTAATACGTTTGGGGGAAAGAAAACCCAATTTTTTTAATAGTGTTAGCATGCATTTTTACTGTTCCTCTTCCTAAGCAGCGCGTCCCATTTCAAATGATAGCACAAAATACGTATGTTACGTGTGTTCCAACGTCTCCCTTTTTGTTGGTTTGGTTTGGCACAGGACAAAAACTGGCCAACTTAATTATTTATACCGCAAAAGCTGTAAACAACTTTTGTTCTCTTAACCCGAGAAATTACTTAGTTTGCTCTGGAACCACGAGTGGCACGTAATGCTAGCATCACAGCCTGGTCATCCCTCCTAACATCAATGATGCTGTAATTAAGTAACTAAGTTACCGGTTTGTAAGAATCATCCTGGCCTATTTGCCAGTATAACTGTGCAACTGCTTGAGTTCACTCTACAGCGAGCCATAAACATTTTAATAGTTTGTCTAATTACCTTCTTAATTAACACGCTGTAATAATAAGCTTTTCACCGTTTTTGAACCGTTTCCGAAAGAGATCACATTCCAACAAGCTTGTAATTGATAGCACGCTACAAGTCAACTATTACAGGTAACGAACGAAGACCTTGCGTGGTGATTGGTATTGAAACACCTCTCTGTTGGTTTTGCATTGACTTAGGTTCGGTTAATCATTAAATCTAGATTGAAACGTGACAAAGTTAGTTCAACCCGGGAATCGGGGCTAATCCGTCAAAGGATACTGAAAGGTTACCGCCCTTTGAATAGAAACTGGCCTCGACCAATCACTGCATCGCATGTGGCTTAGCGCGAGATATAAGTAGCGCAGTTTGTACAAAAGTAGCAGAGAGTTAGAGAGCGTTAATTGACTGCCAAGCGGTTAAGTACTGTTTCATAAACGAGCGGGAGTGTTTTATCGGGTTATAAAACCACAAGGCGAAAATCTCAAGGGAATATCCGAGTTTGTTTGTGTGGCGAACTTGTGCGATAATTTTTGGTTTAGCGTACCAGTGTGATAATTTTAATTTTGTGTTGCACAAATGGATTTGAAGATGCAAGCACGCATTACGTGGCCGGGCGCCTTGGGAATTATTGTAAGAATTATTATTGTGTGGTTTTGGGACTGCATGACCAATTCGGAGCGGACGTTTCTTGAGCTAAAGAAAGAACATCAACGAAACAAATTACAATCAACCCCGATTTCGCCCTGGACTGAAATCAAATGCCGCCCCCAGACTTTTTAGTTTGACAGTGTTTTACCAGGGTTTAAAACACGAGCACGTGACCAAATGGATGTGATAGGTTGTTGAGTTTGTGAATTGGTAGTGACTTTTTTAAGACCTATAAAAACCTCACATCAAAGCAAAGGCTGTTCTGGCGAACTTTTCCCATCAGAAGTTAATTCCCCAAAAGAGACAAGTACTAACAATAAATAATGGACACTTTTAAGAAAGGATTGAGCAGGGCAAGACTTAAGAGGGAGCGAAGAATAAAGAACGCGATACTAACAATCCTATGTATGACACCCCCAACATAGTAACTTCTACTTAATTGAAACTATATTTAGTGCAACTTACAGTGCATGGATAACATCGCAAAGCGAGGGGGTCGGGAAGCCACTTTACTAAGTAATAAACACTAGATAAGATGTGTGATTGTGTCTCTTTCTTGCTTGGGAGGACTATGAAGGGTTTAATTTACCCGAGTCACTTATGGTCAACAGTAATTACCCAATGAATTTCCCTCTACTCTGCATAGCACTTCTACACATACTATGAGGAAATAGGGTTTGGTCTCGGATTGGGAAGTTATTAAGAAGGAAAGGGGCTATTTGCTGTTTTATAAACAACTCCACAAAACTGGAAAAGAAATTGGAATAGTACACTGACTGTAATTGTTTTGATTAACACCCCGCCATTACCCTCAAAGCACCCAAACTAATGAAACGTTTCATTTCGCTCGTGTTAAGAAAGCATTCTTTCGAATCTTCAGATTACGGATTTCGACGCAGATGTCATTATGATAGGCCAATAACTAACGGCTTAATTTGGAACCACGCTTATTACATACTGTAACATTTTAAGCCAACAACTAACGGCTTAACTTGGAACCACACTTATTACATACTGTAATATTTTAAGCCAGTAACTAATGGCTTAACTTGTTAGTCGGTATATGTGTAATATTTTAGGCCACTAATAGCATACCGACCGTAGTTAGTGGCTTAAAATTTTGCAGTATATGCACTGTGATAACAGCATATTAAGCTGTTGTCTAAACGCCCAACAAAAAAGAAATGTTATTTGAAGAACATTAAAATTTTTTTTTAATTTTTCCCGTGTAGTCCTGCAGCTACGGTGAGTTGCTGAGCTGTTTCGCGTAGTCGCGACTACGGAGAACATTTTGCTCGCATTTTGCCGTCTCGGTAATTCAAGAATCTCGTCTTTTCGTAAAAAAGTTTTCAATTCACCTGCTTTAAGTGAGAGGGAAGTGAAATATGTAAGTTTTGTCTAATTTCTGCTCAGATTTATGCTTTTAATCCACTGTTGTGACTATATTTTTATCTAGCTAAGCTCATATTTAAATAAGCTTAGCTGTTAAAACGCAGAATTCAGATTGACGGCCGAGGAGAAGAGAAATCATGCAGGTAATTTACTTTCTCTTCACACTTGAAAAGTTTCAATGTTTGTTCGAACTGATTAGTGTGTTTTTCTACTTGTGTAACCTTTGTTTATGCGATTTGCTGAATGAAAATGATGTAAACATCTTCGAGACAGTCGAAACTCGGCATTTCAATACTTCAAACTACATCAGATCAGTAGTCGGAGAAGTCCCTATTACTATTTCTGTCTATTTCTTTAATATTTGATATAAGTATTCATGGGCAAAAAAATAAAACCTGTGTAACCAAAACTTTGTTCACTAATTTCACTCAACGTATACGTAATTGCTTCGCTTCCTTCAAGTATGGAAGAATTTGCTCATTGTTCTAAAGATAAGATCACATGCAAAACGGACTTCCATTTTTGTGAACTGTGATTAACCCATTTGCTCCTGGAGATTTTGCCGAAAAATGCGTTTTGAAGCTAGTCGAGTGGTTTTCTGGTCACTGTTGTGCTATGAAGAGCTAAAATTTACCACAAAACCAGTTTACAGGTCGTACACTTGATGGCCTTCTGATCCAGATGCAAAACATCAGCTTGCGAAGTTCGGGCATGTGCAGAAAGCAAAAGTTCGACATAGTTTTTGGGTTTAAAAGTGACACAGCAGTCTTGACTTTTACTTTTCGCTTTCTCTCCTCCCCTCTTTTTGCGCTTTTCTTGCCTCATTTTTTTTTCTCTTGCTGGGCATTTAGTAGGCTTCATTTTGGTGGGAATAGTTTTTAGGAAAGCTTTTAGGATCTTAGGATTAGGTGAAAGGAAAGGTAGGTGGGCAACGGAACAAGATTTTCATGGAGATTTTCAGGTCAATGTTACATGGTTTTTTGCCTCTTTCTCCGGTGTCCTTGACTGAATTGTGCTCATTCTGGTATGGTTTGAAAGATTTCTTCACTCTGCACAAGTTAGCGGACAAAGTTGTCCTTGACCGTTAAAACTGATGACGTCACAAAGGGTAGAAAGGACGTGGATCCGCACGGGCGGTTACGGGCGGTTCAGGGGCGAATGGGTTAAAACAAGAAAATCTTTGCGTGTTGTTTCCCTCTCCGCCTCTTCTCTCGTAGTCTACTGTCTGTAGTGCAATCTTAACGTTCTATATTTGCAAGACTCAACCCAGTGCTACAAACAAAGGACAACGCTCGTCCAGCCGTAGTTCGTAGTCCGTAGTCTCTGTATCTTAAACTCCCTACTACTCCATCGTTGTTTGCTGCAAACTCTCCTTGTTAAATCGCTTCTGAGAATTTTGACATGTCACTGTGCTCAACCGTCAAGCACAGGTAAGAATTGGACCAATCGTGAGGAGTATAAAAACCTGTCCATCAGAAATGCTCACATAAAATTCTTGTGACACTGCTCGATATCAGACAAGCTTTTGTGCACTAATTCTCAGATGTACTAAACAATTGGTCTAGATGATGAGTGGGCTCCTGAAATCTCAACGACCTTTGTATGGTACATTGGGGCCAGAAACTTGACTCTACCATACAAATATCTGCAAAATTTGGCATCTTTGCAGAGCTGTCTTTGTTAGGTTGTACCAAATCACTCTTCAACTTGGCAACTTCACTGAATTTTTAAGACATTCTTTCTAGTAGCCTGTAAAAACAGCTGTATTTTCAGTCGTTGTGTCTATTCACCCAAAATACTTGGAGATACATCTGTGTGACTGTCCACAGGCTATCAATCTTTCCAGTGGTGACAGATCTTCGCTAGCATCAAAAATTAAAAAAAGAGGAGTGTAGAAGCATCTATTGAGTTCCATTCTTATAGGGTTACCCTAAGCACTGCCTAAAAAGTGCTACTCCAAGGACTAAATCTAGCCAATACACCCTGTGAACGCAATTTATGCAACTGCACGAAGAAGCCTGAAAAAAAAATTCAGGACTTCAACGTGGTTTGAACCCGCGACCTCGCGATTTACTGGTGCGATGCTCTACCAACTGGGCCCTGAAGCCACTGACATTGGGAGCAGGTCAGTTGTGGGTTCATATGTTCCCGTGAAAGAAATGAGTGTTAATGATATATGAAATAAATCATATATGAACTGCGGAAATGAAATGAAAATGAAGAAATGACTGTCACAGTGAACGCAATTTAATTTCATTCCCCCAGTTCATATATAATTTATTTCATATATCATTAACACTCATTTCTTTCATGGGAACATATGAACCCACAATCGACCTGCTCCCAACGTCAGTGGCTTCATGGCTTAGTTGGTAGAGCATCACACTGGTAAATCGCGAGGTCATGGGTTCAAACCCCGTTGAAGTCTTGAATTTTTTTCAGGCTTCTTTATGCAATTGCATAAATGTGACCTTCTCCAGGAAAACGTACACTAACGGTTTACCGTTTAACGGCTTAAAGCGTTAAGAACCCGTTAACTAAGCGTTAAAACGGCTTGGGAAAGCGTTCAAGCCGTTAGTAAAACCGTTAGAAAAATTTGCCTTCCCGTTAGAAGCGTTAGAGAAACCGTTAGTCAAGGCGTTAGTCAAGGTCGTTCAAAGCGTTAGAAAAAGTCATTTGAAATTTTGTTCCAGGACGTTCAAATCGTTCGGCAAAGTCGTTAGATTTGCATTCTAGGACGTTTAATGAGTGAAGTTCTTTTGATTATGCTGTTTTATGTCCTTTGAAATTATAATCGTTAGGTTATCGCTCTACATTCGTTAGATTATTGCCCAATCTGTACTCGGTTAAAACCTGCAACACATACGTTTTTTCACACTTTCATGCGTTTGTCGTTCAGGCTACATTCGAGCACTTAAACACACGAGCATTTACATACGTACGTAACAAACTATTAATGGCAACATGTAAGCGAATAGGTTTCTGATTATTTACCTGGAGACGCCAGTAAACCATTCCTTCTGTTGGACACTTCACACGATCTCAGTTTACACATTTTCACGAAGATAACTATCATGTCGAATAAATTGCAGTTGAGCGTACGAATCTTCAAGTTATAGGGTAAAAGCCGATAATTCTGGTTACGGCGTCTATTGTCTTTTTATGAAAAAAATAAATAAAAGAATAGGATGTTATTCTTAGCGAAAGCGAGCGAAAACAAGCGAAAGCACGCACTTACTATTCGTAACAGGACAGTCTGCGTGATGCATTGTTATGGTAACCTTTGCTTGAAGGCTCAAATCCTTACAATCATTAGACAAGCAGTCACTAGAACATCGAAAATGGAGAAAGAAGAACATGCTATGGAATTTACAGAAAACGCAAGTGCGGATGGAATAGTTGACAGTGTAAAGAAATTTCTTGAAAGTGGTTGCAAATGCTCACATGGTCCGAAGGATGGCCCCTGCTCATCGCAGTTTACGGAAGAAGAAGTTATGGCAAATTTAAACAACTGCCTTGAACTGTCTACCAAAGAACTCGACCTGGTCATCTTAGCAAACATACAAGCTGTAACCCATTTCGAAAATATCGGAGAGAAAAGGAGCAGAAGCCCTCACTGTAATTTCCTCTTCCAGTCAAAGCCGATTTGTCGAGAAATGTTTCTTATACTCTATGGTTTAAGCCACTCCTGCTTTCGCCGGCTGAAGGAACATTACGAGAGCAACGGCCTTTCATCTAGAACCCATGGAAACACAAAGCGGCTTCCCCCGAACACTCTTTCGCACACTGTGGTAGAAGATGTCAATGCGTTCCTTTCAAACTATGCGGAGGACCACGCGGTATCACTTCCTGGGAGGATTCTGGGGTATAAAGACGAAGACATTAAGCTCTTGCCTTCACACAAGACAAAGATGAGTGTTTGGCGCAGCTTTGAAGCCTCTTGCAAAGCTGCCGGAAAGCAGGCCGTGAGCTATCCGAAGTTTGTTAAACTTTGGGAACAATTCCATCCAAGTGTTGTGGTCGCAAAACCAATGACTGATTTATGCGAGACTTGCCAGCGAAATACAACCAAGCTGCTTCGATCTGCGAATCTTCCTGTTCACGAAAAATCAGAATGCGTCCGAAAACAGCAAGAACATTTAGACCTGGCGCAGGCTGAAAGCAATGTGTATAAGGAGGCATGCAAGGAGGCAGAGATCAATTTTAAGGAAATCGAAGACACTACTGACTTGAGTGCACCACACGAACCATGTTCATTCCGTGGGACAATGCATTATTCGTTTGATTACGCGCAACAAGTGCACATTCCCAGCAATCCGATGCAACCAAGACCTATTTATTTCAAGACGCCAAGGAAGTGTGGTATTTTTGGAATTATCTGCGAAGCCATACCTAGACAGGTCAACTACTTAATTGACGAGGCCTCAAACGTGGGAAAAGGCGCAAATTCAACTATTAGTTACATGCACCATTACTTTGAAAACCACGGGCTGGGAGAAACGCACGCTCACCTTCACGCAGACAATTGCTTGGGACAAAACAAAAACAACACTTTCTTATGGTACCTTGCTTGGAGAATAATAACAGAACTGCATAAACATATCAGTTACTCTTTTCTTATTGCTGGTCACACAAAGTTTGCACCTGATCGCTGCTTTGGGATAATCAAAAAGTGTTACAAAGTAAACTTTGTTTCCTCACTTTACGAACTTGCCGGGATGGTTGAGGCATCAAGCACGACTGGAGTGAACAAAGCCCAGTTGGTCGGAACTCACGACAACAGAGTCATCGTACCAGTTTATGACTGGACATTACTTCTTGGACAATATTTTAAAAGAATACAAAAACATTAAGAAATATCATCACTTCCGTTTTTCCAAGGACAAACCAGGAAAGGTCTTTTTTAAAGAGAACAGCTTCTCCGCTGAACAGTCTTTCATGTTGCTGAAATATCCTTCGGATTTACTGCAACAAGGCATACTTCCGAGTCAAATTAAGCCAGAAGGTTTGAGCGATGAGAGGAAAAGGTACTTATTTCATGAAATCCGGCAATATTGTAAAAGTGGAACAGAAGATCTTATGGCTCCTGCGCCATAGACTATATAATGGACAGTGACATAAATATTTTTGCAAATAGCACAGGACAACTCGTTTTAGTGTTTTTTCAAAGTTTGTTTGTAAGCGTGATCTTTCGAATACTTGTAATAAAAGGTATAGACAAGGTATAAGAAAGTCATTTTGATGTGCGTTTGTATGCGCGGTCACTATAAACAAAAGTGCCAGTTATACAGGCAAAATAAGCGTCCGGCGCTGCGAAAAAGGCATCCTTTATGCATCATTACTAACACTACAAAGAAGAAACTTACTTAAATTTTGAAGACAAGCAAGCCTTTCACACTTTTTCATAATGCGTGTCAAAACCACATGGGCCAAGTTTCCCTTCTCTAACTGCGCACGGATATCTTACCAGGAAGTGCGCCATGTTTACGTGTCAATGGTAATTAACAGCTGGTAAATCCGTTTTGAAACACGTGCTAGTTTTCAGGTTAAAAGTAACAACAACAGCAGGCGTTTCAGATCCTGCGATCTTCCAACATCTCAGTGATAATCATGACACGGTAATAAAGTTTTCATATCATGAAATTATTTTCTCTTAACGAAACACAAGATCGCGCTCTTTTCTTGTTGATATCTTATTTTGTTGTAAAATGTGTTGTTTTTTATTTATCATTAAATCATTTCTTCTAGAAGACTCTCCGACTGTTACTACTGTTAGTGCTCAAACGTAATGATTGGTAACTCATTAATATTCTAGACGCGCGCTAGTTCTTGTTGATTGGTGCATTTCGATCCTAGATAGAGTAGAAAAAAAATTTTTGCATCTGTTCCCTCGAGGTCCAATGGCTTCATATATTACGAACTCATAACCAATTCAATTCAACAGTCACTACAAACACTTTATCAGTTGATCATCAAAAAACATGTCTCTTAACGACAAAGTTAAAGTGATTTGGAAAACTAATTGCCAATGGAGAGACCGACCGCACTGGCCTAAAAGAAGAGACTTGAAACTGAATGAAAATGACGGTAACGGAAAAGAACTGTCTGCTCTCAAACCTGGAGACGCTGTCAAAATGAAGTTCGGTTCGTGATGGTATGACGCCGAAGTATGCGGGAAATGGGAATCCAGGAAATCAAAGAAAGGTAAATACTCTTAAAAGTCACCGCTTACTTCGATCAATCAACTGAGAGCCACATTCCCTTTCTTTGAGGCAGTTCTAATGCCATGTTCTTTTATTTACGCAGGACAAACAATCATGAACAAACATTCCCATCAGAACAACCAGCAGAATCCTGTTAGTCAAATGCCAACCCAGACAGAGGTGAATGCGCCTGTCACAGACCCATATGCTTTATTCTTGGCGGAACAGCAGAAACGAGAGGCGATTTGGAGTGTTAATCGTGCCGCAAAGAAACCCAAGACTGCCGATGTCGAGAGCCTGACCACGAACACTGCGACAAAAAGGAATGACAGCATAGTTCTCCCCAAATCAAGTTTACAATTTTTAATATTCTATTTCGCACTTAAACATTCGAGTTTTTTTCAACTTTCGAGTTCGTAAGTCAAAATTCCAAAGTTCACAATTTATCAATTGAGGCTGCGTTGCAGCTGGCCCACGTATCATCTAGACCATTAGTAGTTCCAGGCTGTTTTGATGGTCTGTGACGCAGGCTATCAATCAAGTTGATACTGGTTTAAATTGAATTCTGCCCTTTGTTCTTGCAGGCTGTGGAAAAGGTAGAAGAGACAATTGCGTTGATGCAGAAAAAATGACTGCGGCACTAGAAAGAATCGGGGAGCGTCTGGATCGCCTTGAAGCAGTACCGGTCAACTCAGATCTGACTCCTCTTGTAAATGTAAGCATTGCTTATTAGAAATAGTTTCAACTTATTAGTTTGTTACTATAATAATAGTAATACTAGCTTACTTGAGTAAGATTATTGCCTCATAAAGTGGATGTACTTCTGGGTTTTCATTTTCTTGAGTTCGAGTTTTAACAAGAAATTTTAACATATTTAAATACAGGGCTATTACTCGCTAATTGTTATCTTTTTAAGCCAAAACGTGTTTTTGCATCAATTGAACATAATTGTTCAGTTTTGTTAAATAATGCTGTGTTATGCATTGAAACTGTTTTCTTGATAGTGTTTATAATTAGAATAGAGTAAGTAGAAAATCCTGTCGGAAAGAAATATATGTTTCAGCCTCTTTTACTTACTTCTCTTTTCTTTTTCGTTCCCTATAGTTCAATGACAGTACGTTATCCGCTGTTGAGATGATGGAGGAGACCCTTACAGATATATCTACGATCGATGCCAATGCACTCTGCACATTAAGCGAGTCTTTCAGTACAACCTGCAGTCCAGTCGTTCCACAATTGTCAGAGCGTCATGCATCCAGCAGTCCAGCTATTAGACATGTGTCTGAGTATCCTGTTTCCGACAGCCCCGCTCATGTAACTGGTGTGGTAACAGACGAACTAATTAGGAGCTGCGTCACACCGAGAAAGGTCCACAGAGTCCGCGAGGCCCTGGATGCTGAATCAGAACGCGACAGATGTGCTATCAGGTTGCTGAAGCAGATCTTCACAAAGGAGGAGCTTGCCATGGGCAACACAGAAGGCAACTTCAATAAAAGCCCGCTTGACCGGACAAGACTTCACTCGCTAAAAGGTACGTCACCTTTTAAGATCTCGATGCGGTTACCTCTTTAGAACTTCCGCCATATGTGGTTTGAGTTTGTTGTTGGTCCTCTCTCTTGCTCCGAGAGGTTTTTCTCCGGGTACTCCGGTTTTCTCCTACGATGAACCACTTTGTGGATGTACTACCTCCAAATCATTATTTATTATTGATATTATTTAGTTTGTTCGAAGTGCTTTACCCACTTATAAGTGCATTTTTCGGTAGAGGTTTTATTAAATATTTTGTTTGCTTTCGTTTCAGTTCTGGTCTTCACAAAGTTTCCGGTTGGACCCGATGAGGATGAGGGCAAGTGTTGGCGAACCGTGAAAACCAAGATAAATGCCAAATGTCGAGCACAGAGATTTGCTATTTCCAGCCGTATCGGTATCGAAAATTTGCGTCCCAATTAGATTTCGCTTTCTTGTTTAGATCCATTGTTAAATGCAGCTTTCTCGATTGATGTAAATGTAAAAAGATTCGCTTTCCTTGTCTGATATGTATTTATAAAATATTTGCTCTCTCGTTTGATGTATACAAATACAAATTATACAGAAAAAAAATCATTTATCTTACGAGATTAAGTAAAGCGAACTACTACCAAAGTTTCTTTGATCTCAACATATGTAATATGCGTCAAACTTGGAAAGGAATTAACGAGCTAATTGGAAACTGTAAAAAGAAAAACAAGCGCAACTCAACTAACTCTATTCGCTCAAACCCGAATGAGGTTCCAACTAGTGACCCGAAGGAAATAAGCAATATTCTTAACAAATATTTCGCCACTGTTGGGAGCAAACTGGCTTCTAAAATTCCTCAGACCATAAATACATTCTATGATTATTTAGATCCGCCACTTAATCGCACTTTCTTCTTTGATCCTATTATTCCGGAAGATATCAATTTAGAAATTTCAGTTTTGCAAGACAACAAGGCCCATGGTCTTTACTCATCTCCAGTTAGGCTGCTGAAATTGGCAAAAAGGGTCATATCCGTACCTCTAGCCACGATTTTTAATCAGTCTATTTGCTCAGGGATTTTTCCATCTAAACTAAAGTGTGCTAAGATTATCCCGATATTTAAGGACGAAGATGACACGCTGCCCGAAAACTACCGACCTATTTCTCTGCTCTCGATTTATAACAGGATTTTTGAAAAACTTATGTACTCCAGAGTTACCAAGTTTGTCAAAGATTGCAACATTCTCTATGATCAGCAATACGGTTTTCGCAGTAAGCACAGTACTCAGCATGCTGTACTTGATATTGTTAACACAATTCTCCAAAACATGGACAACGGTAAATTTTCGTGCGGTGTTTTCATCGATCTCAAAAAGGCTTTTGATACTGTTAACCATGAAATTTTGTTAGCTAAACTTGAAAATTATGGTATTAGAGGTGTAATCAACTCCTGGTTCAGATCATACCTGACTGATCGGAAGCAAACTACGGAAGTTAATAATGTTGTGTCTGAGGCTGAAACGACCTTGTGCGGCGTGCCACAAGGCTCAGTCCTCGGACCACTCTTATTCCTACTGTACATCAATGATATTTACAAGTCCTCTTCGTTATTTGCCTTTTATCTATTTGCTGACGATACTAGTATAATACTTGCAAATAACAACCTAAAGGAACTCGAAACACTTGTTAATCGCGAGCTTGGCAACGTCAACGAATGGCTAAAGGCCAACAAACTGTCCTTGAACATAAAAAAATCAAATTTTGTAATCTTTCGTCCCCGGCAAAAGAATATGCCCTTCATACCTAGGATTAGAATTTTTGACTCCGTGACTAACACCTACGCAAACCTTGAAATGAAAGATTATGTAAAATATCTTGGCTTAATGATTGATTCAAATCTTTCATGGAAATACCACATCGAATCTATCTGTCACAAAATCAGCAAGTCGATAGGAATTATAGCTAAAATTCGACATTATGTCCCGCGTCGTGTTTTACTTTCAGTTTACAACTCATTAATTGTCCCTTACTTGACTTATGGTATTTGTGGTTGGGGAAATTGTGCCTTGACATTTCAAAGAAAGATCGTAACTCTACAAAAACGGGCCTTACGTCTCATTTACTTCAGTAAGTCTAAGGAACACGCCGTACCCTTCTTTCTCAAATCAAATTGCCTTCCCCTGTCTAGCATATTTTTCAGAGATTGTAGCTATTTATTGTATGATATCAACAGACAGATAGCACCAGTTAGTATTCTCAATCAGTTCGTTAAAACAAGTCAGATTCATAACTACAGAACAAGATCTGTCTCTAGCGACTCGTTTTATGTTAAGTTCTCTAGAACCGATAAAATGTATGCCTTTTTCACGAGAATCGGTGCCCAAATTTGGAACTCTATTCCGTATTCGATTAAAATACTTAAACGTTCGTCCTTTCGTAAAAAAATAAAGGAATTATTACTAAATTTTTTGCGGTCAGAAGATGATTATGTCGAAGTCTCCCGTCTTATTAAGTTATTTAATACTTTAGGTTAGCCTCTCTTCGTAATCGTTATGTACATGCCTTGTTTTATGTTAGTTTAAATTCTATTTACTGTATCGTAGTGTCTTCACTGTTATTTAGTCCATCTATATATAAATCTTGTTTTGTAAATTGTGTTCAGCTCCCCCCGCCTCGATTAGTTCATAAGCTATTTGCGGCTGGGAAAGTAATGTAATTAGTTATTTTCCGATTTTCAATAAAATTTGTTGTTGATGTTGTTATTTGTTGTTGTACACCTCGATGTTTAGAACTTTCGTTTTCCATTAGATTTTCTCTCAGACTTGTAATGTTAGGTATCGTAGCATTAAATAAAATAAGTGGATAATTTTTGTCTGTGTTTTTTAAGTTCCGTGGGACAAACGTGGGAAATACATTTTAATGAGAATACCTGTATGACATCAAAGGACTGGGACTGAGCAAGTGGTTGCTATGACGATGCTGCACTTGAACGGCGACATCGTCAGGATCGATCGAACTAAAACGCAGTAATCAACCAAATAGCGGTAAAAATTTGCTTTTTTAGTCAAGATATGATCAAGAACAAGGAAAATGTATCAATTTTTATAATTTACTTTCTAGAAAAGCTCTTGCTTATTTTCAAAACGGCCACAGCGCGAGACTGGAGCGAAAACTTCGAACTCGTGCACTTTTGGTCCATGACTTGGACGAACGTTGGTGAGTAATGAACGAATTTTAAAGATTGGGGTTTTAACTGAATTTTATGTGTTGTCTGTCTCCCGAGTTTCATTGACTTCTCAGATGATTTGAAATGTCAGACAGGTACAACTGATTTCATCGCGCATAATGTTTTATAGTCGCTGAAACTCTTTTCTTTGAGCTGTTATCACTCGAGACGTTTGATTTTTATCAAACATTCTCTTAGACCGTTAGATGATTGTTTCTTGAAGCCGTTAGTCCCCCCGTTAGAAACGTTCAAAAAAGTCGTTAGGAAAATCAAAGCAAATCCGTTCGAATGCTTTTATAGGTCGTTAGATTTTTTCACCTACCCGTTAAAGGTGTTAGAAAAGCCGTTAACAATCCCTTCGTTAGCCGTTACTTTTTACCCGTTAAACGGAAAACCGTTAGTGTACGTTTTCCTGGAGAAGGTCACAAATTGCATTCACTGCGACGATCATTTCTTCATTTTCATACTGTAACTTTTGTTAACAAGATATTACAGTAGAAATGAAAAAATGAACTGTTGACTTGAAATATTTTTGTTTTGAACAACAGATTATTATGGGCAAGTGACATCTCAGGACTGGTCGAGTAGTCATTTTAACTGTCAGTAAAGAGGGTGCAAAGGAAGTCAAGTTTTTTACAGCTTGCCATTTAGACAAGCTGTAGCTATCTTGTACTAGCCAGAGTCATTTTTAAGTAGCCTGTTAAATTTTTGAGGAGCAGGATAGACAGTAATTCTTTTGCAATTTAAATTCCCCTAACAACTTCACTGTCCGTTGGCCAACTTATGAACAAAACTCAATCCCTCCCTCTGCACGCTGAGTAAAGCAATATGTGTTATTTCTTGTGTTTTTCTCAATACGTTTTATATGTTTTATCTCTTACTTATTTATTTCTTACTTATTTGTTCTGAAATTCTTTCTACTTGGGATCCAATTGATTGCCACCATCATGGGCCTTGCCAAGAAGCTCTCAAGGTTTTTCCTGGCGCATAGTTTAGTCATTACGGCCGATTTGCTGTCACTGGACGACCTTCAATTGTTTTTGTCGCGAAGCCCTTTGGATTTCATCGCGCCAAGATTCCCTTGGTATCTTGGACAAAGCACGGATGTACATCTCTGCTAATTCCTGGTCACGACCTGCCTCTAAACATCACAATTTTTGGAGACATTGCGATTAATCCTGGTCCGGAGACTTTAATTCAAAACAATTTGAAGAGGCGAAATGAAAATCTACCGAATATCTTGGATTTGCATATAAATACTCGAGTTATAACATACACCCGTGCTGAACTACTTGGCATTCGTCGAGCATCTCGCAGTTTTGTTTGTTGATCAGTTCTCCATGTTTTAAAGCTAAATGGACTTCTGAGGTTTAGAGGATGTCGAGCTGGCCGACAGAAGATATCTGTACATATTTCTGATCGAATAAGTCATAATACTTGCCGTGATAGAACCACTTCTCGCACTTCTGTTTTGGTTCCTATAGTTCCTGAACAACATTATCGTGTTGGAAGCTATTTAAAATTCTGTAGTTTGAATGCCAGGTCTGTGAGAAACAAATGGGCGGACCCGGTTTCCTATGTTGAATCATCTGGAACTGATATTTTCGCAGTAACTGAGATATGGCTCTCAGAAATTGATGATGCGTGCAGAGCCGAAATTACCCCACCCGGGTACAAGCTGTTTGGTCAGACACGATCTGATCGATGTGGTGGTGGAACTGCTCTATTGATAAGAGAAAATCTACATGCAAGTCGTGTAGATGCTGGTGAGCGTACTTCTTTTGAGTTTTCTCATTGGATGGTCGAGTTCCAGTCGCAAAAACTGCAGATTATTATTATTTACCGTCCACCCTACTCTAGTAACCATCCTGTCACGACGAATGTATTTTTTGTTGATTTTTCGAGTTTTTTGGAGAATATCACAATGTCATCTGTACCGTTACTGATAGCAGGTGATTTTAATATCCATGTAGACATTCCGGGGAATGCAGATGGTGTTTGTTTAAAGGAGCTGCTTGAGTCAATGGGCCTTCAACAACATGTTAACATGCCAACACACGGGTCAGGACACACCCTGGATTTGATCATTACTCGACAATGCAACTCCTTATTAGCTAACATCCGTGTGACTGACTGTCTGTTTTCTGATCACTCTACTTTGATTTGTGATCTAACCCTGGACAGGCCACCGCCCCCGAAGAAAGAAATCTCTTTCAGGAAGACAAAG